AGTTGTGCACTGGTGTCAGAGCAGTGAATAGTAGGCATTCAACATACTTCCTAAAACTTTCGACTGGTTTGATACATACTGCTTCACGGAATCCTCACGATAACCCTCTGGAGTCAGCGTCTTCTTGAAGATGAAGAAATGACAGCTCAGAGAGGTCAAGTGCATCTTCTATGAAAACCTAACAAGCCAAGTGATGGACTTTAAATTTGAACCCACATCTGTGTACCTCTGCACCCTGCGTTCTTTCTAATGTTGTGTCTTCAATGAAAAGAGCTGGGAAAGAAACATTAATTGAGAGGTTGTTTTCTAAGACATCCAGGAGTTTGAGTCTCATGATAAACGTTTGTTGACTAACTCTCCAGCCAGGGAAGAGGTTGCCCACTCACACAGACTCAAGTTAACTGATTGGTCTCTCCAACTATATTGGGAGCAATTTCAGAGTCAGTGCCTCATGAATTCACCTTTTGCCATGCAGGCCCAGTGTTAGAGGCTGAGAATTCTGATCTGAAAACCGCAATTAGAAGACTTTGTTACAATTGAAAAGTCCATGAGTAAAGTGAAAAAGATAACCCTGTTGACATTTCTTTGCAAGGTCCCAACCATGACAATTATGTACTCCCAGGTGCTATGGGAAGTAAGGTCACAGTGACCAGATGTGTGTGGGGGTCAGAGCCTCCCAGTAGGGATGCCACCCAACCGCGTCTTAAAGGGAAGCATGAATCTGTGCAAAATGACTTGTCCCTGAGTCTGGACCCAGCAAAGGAAGCTTCATGTTCAGAGATGGTGACGTGTGAAGTGGGCTGTTTGGGGGAAGAGCAAATAGGATTATATAGCTAAGTTTTAGGATCTGCATGTAGCCCTGGATAAACACATGCCAGGCATTTCATAGCCCTCTAGTATGACAGATCAAGATATTAGTAAGGAAACTGGCCCTGAAGTGCTTAGCGCCACTGCAGTGAGGCCCCCCCCCCACCCTGTCCCCCGCCACATCGTATAATTCTCAGAAAGACGTTCTCACCCCACTGGGCTGCCTCTTGTGTAATCAGCCTCATTTGGAGTCACTGACTGTTTGTCTCCTGCCTGGCCTAGATTCCTGGGACTCAAATCACATGAGACCTAGGAGGGTGCATTAGTCATTTGTATTACTATCCGACCAGCATAGTTTCCTGGCCATGAAGCCTCCTCGCTTTGGAGATGCTTAACATGTGCTCATTTCCCTGAAGAATTCAGCTTCATTTAAGCTCAAAAAAATGAGAAATGCTATGAAAAAATGTGCAGCCCTTGACCTTTGAGCTCTTCCAGTTGGCTGATGGCCTTGGGTGAATTCCTACCCCCCCACCCCCGCCACGTGAATCAAAATCAGGAGCAGAGTTGCATTACTTTAAGGGCTTCAGGCTCAACGTCTTGTCCCTGACTGCAACACTTTCCCATTCCCCCAAGTCCTGTCCTCTCTTTGAGGCTCAGGCCAAGTGCCATCTCTTCTGAACACTTCTTTGATCTCTAGCTCCCCACCACACTCAGTCTACAACTATTGCTCCCTTTGCTAAACTCCTAAAATATTCCTGCCATATGCCAGCAAGTTCAAATTTAAGTATGAATTAAGAAAACACAAATTATGTCTTGTGGCCTCCCCAAGATCACACATCCTGAAAGTGTCCCCATTTCTTTGGCCATCATCCATCTCAGGCCTGCGCATGGTGGCTTACTTCTCCCCTAGGACGTCATTCCTCTTTTCATAGTGTTCTCCTTCTCTTTGCTCATAGCCACTTTTCCAGCTTGCTCCTCATCCTACCAAACACTTAATGATGGTCCAAGTTACCATGGGACATGAGTGGCTCATCCTAAACTGGGCGTTGTCGACCCCACCAAGCCATAAACTTGGTTATGACTAAAGCTCTCCATCGTCAAATGGAAGTAGTATCTAGGAGAAGGGTCCTAATCAGGCCCAGGAGACACAGTGAATTACATGAAGAAGTGGCCAAATGACCATGACCTCCACTCCTCCTACATCATTTTATGTCTCCAGCCTACACCTGTGGGCTCATGAGGAGACTCTCAGGATGATCTGACAACTTCACCACCCTCCTCATCACTTAAGAAATCTCTTTCACTTTTTTCCTTCCACTACTACCACCATGATCTTCAGAAAGGTGTCACTCTAATCAGATTGTTCTCCTCAGGATACTGAGACCCGCTCTTGTTGCCTGCAGTACCCTGCTCATTCTCTAAGGCTTTGCCCAAACTCTGCCATTTTCTCTAATCACTTTCCAGAGTGGGAAGCTGGATGACACTTCTTAACATTTCTCCCAAAAGACCTTTAAGAACAGAAGAAAATTATCAGGTGCCCCTGAGCTTCCTAGAAGTATACCCCCAAAGGAGACCTCTGAAAGAGTCCTCTGAGGACAAATGGCTTATCTATGAATAATGTCAACTTTGGCTTCTGTTTTATAATATTTCTGGATGCTTTGATATTACTTCAAAGTTATTTACATTTCCCCAGTAAACTTGATATTTCATGCAAATGTGCTATCTAGATCATCTAGGTCTTCATCTATAGCCCTGACATGCCACTATCCCTCCCCAATATAAATAGAAACATAGATCCTTTTTTAGACTTCTACTTCGGCATGGTCCTGAGCCTGAGAAGTTCAGGATCTAGTAAAGGAAACATCAAATCACACTCTGATGACTGCACAAGACAGTACAGGGCTTTTGGAAGGTTAGTGGAATCTCAGTATCAATTAAAGACACTGAAATTGAATTTAAGTCATGACTCCCCACAATAACAATACTAATGATAACAATAAGAAATATTAAATACCTTATCAGTAGCTATAACTTATATATAATACTTATCTGACCAAACACTTCTCTAAGCTCTTCACATACATTAACACATTTAGTTAAGAGAACCACACCATGAAATAGGCCCTGCAGATAGCCTCATTGCAGTTATCTCACAAGAAAACTGAACATGTCATGAAATGACAGACTGTCTTCCAGGGCCATAACCTTAAGCTCCCTGTTATGACACTTCTGTATGACCTTTGGTATTAAATGTAGTAATATGGCAGCAACCGTGATAACAGTAGTACTAGTAACAATAGCAGCTGCAGTTGCAATAGCTCTATGCCCACATCCTTTACAATTTAAATAAAATAAACCATATAAGATCACTTTGAAATCCTCGCAGTGCAGATTAGACTCTTTGAGACCTTCCTGAACTACCTCTTGAGCAACACCTCCCTTCCCACATGCAGAAGTTCAGGCAGAGGTCTCCCAAGTTCCCTGTGGCCAAAGTTTTGGGGAGAGCATATTGAAATTGGATGGCTACATGTGCAAATTGGGAGGGATCCATGACTGCAAGAGCCATAGGCAATGAGAAAGCAGAAATTCCAAGATCTGACCCTCTGATTGACGTTCAAAGGCCTGCTTTCTTCTGGTTCCTGCTCACCAATAGGCAGTCCTTAAACTTGAGAAGTCTCTTTGCCAAGAAAAGAATTTGAATTTTAGTTCCAAGAAAATACTGTTGAATGCAAAGGAGACAATGTGGTGGGAGTGAGGATGTGGAGGGGGTCACTGTTTGTAGGCAGCCCCTGTGTTAGACCACCAAATACAGCTGGCCTCGGTGACTCCTCATCATGTCCAGAGACAAAGGTAACATCATTGCCACTTTACAGGTAAGGATCCTATTGCTCAGAGAGACTACGTAACTGAGGCAATAGAGAAATAAATGTGCAGTACCAGTATTTGGGGTCATACCTATGTGATCATAAACCTTATTTTTGAAATATACATTCTATAAAAGAGAATGTATGTTTTTGACCAAGCATGTACTGTTTTCTAAAAAGCACTACAAAGGATGTGGCTCAGGAAACACTAGAAATATTAAATGTGGAGTCTCTAGACTTTTGTGTAAGACTACTCTTAAAAGATGTGGCCTCTAAAATCTGAAGAACTCAGAATTCCCTTCACTACTCCATAGGAGTAGGAGAGGTGGTCCCTGGTCTCACCTGAGTGTGGATGACAGTGGGTGAATCAGATTGTGCCTTCTGGGATCCAGTCGTCACAGAGAAAAAGGAAAGGACAGGCAACTGAGGATGTATCTAGTAAGTGACAATAGGAAAAAGGCCAAGCAAGAGGAAGCATCTCTGAAGGTCCAGCAGTAGAACAAGGTGGCCCAGGGACAGACCAGTAGCTGGTGTTAGCCACATCTCTCAGTGAGCCGGAAGGAGGTCAGTTATATGAATGGGGGAGGCAAGGTGAAGGTTGGTCTTCTACACTTAGGGCAAAGAGCAGGCCAGGACTCCCAGACCTGGATTTAATTAGTTTCAAAAATATGTTACCAAAACACGGTGTCTAAAGAAGATCTAATGCTGATTATAGGAACATGAGCAGAGTCCAAATATTAAAACCATGGATCAAGGCAGGAGAGAATAAATAGAACAGGTGTTATGGTTTGAATGTGAAGTATCCCCTAAAAGCTCATGTGTGAGACAGTGCAAAAGGTTTAGAGGAGAAACGATTGGGTTATGAGAGTTCTAACCCAATCAGTAAATAAATCTCCTGATAGGATTAACTGAGTAGTGACTGAAGGCAGGTAGGGTACGGCTGGAGGGAGGTGGACATTGGAGTGGGGCTTTGGGGTATATATTTTGTATCTGGAGAGTGGAGTCTCTCTGCTTTCTGATCATCATGTGAGCTGCTTCCTTCCACCACATTCTTCCACCATGATGTTTTTGCCTCCCCTAGACCTCCAAGGAATGGAGCTGGCTGTTTATGGATTGAGACATCTGAAACCGTGAGCCCCATAATAAACCCTTCCAAACCTTTGTTCTGGTCAGGTCTTTCAGTCATAACAGTGAAAAAAAGCTGATTTAAACAAAAAGCGACTTATAGCAGAATCTATGAAATACCAAGCAAGGATTCCTTATTACCCCATGTCTAGAGATGGCATGTATGACTTTTGCCAAATGCTGACCTTGGAAAGGACATCAGAGGCAGTGAGAACAGCATGTGCCAAAATTTAAATACCATAAACATATATGGCATTCTGAAGAAAAGAAAATAATCCACTGGGCCTTGGATTCAGAGAAGTAGTACGTCATGGGTGAATTGGGAAGTCCTCTTACAGGCTCATGTGCTGGAGGGTTGGTCCTCAGAGTAATAATACTTAAAGGTGCCCTGGGTGTTTTAGAGGTGAGTCCTAGTGGGAGGTTCTTGGTCATTGGGAGTAATGATCTTGGAAGGGAATACTGGTCTTCGGGAGTGAATTCTCACAAAAGCAAGTTGCTATAAAAGCCAAGCCTGACTCTGTGCCTCTCTCTCTGCTTCCTGTATCAAGATGTGACCACTTTCTCCCATTGGCCTCTGCCATCATACAACTCAGCCAAGAACCCAAGAACTTGAGCCAGTGCCAGCTCTATGCCTTGAACCTCCCAAACTGTGAGCTACAGAGGCCTCTTTTCTTCATAAGTAGCCTGCCTCAGAAGGTATTCATTGTAGTGACAAAAAGGTGACTAATTCACAGTACTTACCAAAAGTCCTCTGGGAAGACGCTACCGAGGACCTCAAAATGTCAAGTTAAACTGCTGAAGTTCATTGCAGGAAGTCAACCGCTCTGGGTGATGCTAGGATGATAGGACAGGAGAACCCAACTCCACAGTTGGTGCTAATGGTGACATGCTGAATTGTGCTGGAGGATGACACACAGAGCACAGACGTGAATCAAAATATTTAAGCTAGAAGAGATGCTGGAGACTCTGTATATGATTTCCCCATTTTACAATCAAGAAGACAAGTCTAGAGAAGAGGAACTCATGTGATCTTGGATAACTAGGACCTCGAGTTCTTTGTAGTCTGTTGTATTTTGACATTGCAAGGTTAGTAGAAAAATAATAAATGGAGTTTTCCAAAATTTGGACCTTGCCGGTTATAAAAATAAGTGGAAAATAAAGAAAGTCAGAAAGTTGTTTGTGTCCTGGGAGTGGGGCTGAATAATAAAACTCAAAGCCAATATTCTGACCTAAATTCCAAGTCCAAGGACTTGATCATGGGCCACCTTGGCTCTTCTCCCCTACTTCTGCAGGTTGGCCTCATGTGTATTTGATTCCTTGGTCTGCAAGCGTTTTAGCTCATAAATGGCAAAACATTGCAAAGTCAGGCAAATAATTGCAGAAGATTTTGTTCTACTGACTTAGCCTGCAAACGAAATCCAATTCCAGGAAAGAACTAGACAACAAATCCAGGGAAAGGCAAGATCAATATGAAGATAAATCCATTCTAGTTTACCAGCCACTGGCTGACATGTTCCCTTTCCTTTAAGAGGGGTTGAGATAGAGGAATAAAAATCAATTTGTAGTACCTAGGCTTCCCAAGGGAGCAGAGACTCACTGCTTATTTCTGTCTGTCTTGCCACTAGTGCTGACTTGAAGTAGAGACACTCAAAAGTGCTAATAGACCCCAGAGGAGGAAGCCATTGTTGTGGGGATGGAGGGTACAAGAGAGAAAGCTCCTCACAGAGGAGACAATCTTTGAATTTGTTTTTGAAGGATTGGAGGGTACCTCAGCAGACAGTCCAAAGATAGGAGAAAGATTATTCCCAGTAGAAGAAGTAATTTGAAAAAAATTATACACAGACATTGAAAGGACTATTGGGTGGACAGAAAAGAGTTCGTATGGCAAGAAAATGAGGGGATGGAGGGTGTGGAGAAAGAAAAGCACTGCAGGCTTGTTCAAGGCAGACAGGGGTGAAGGAACACCCCAGGTCAGGATAATGTCAAATGGTTCCATGTGGGCTGAGCTGAAGCACAAGAGGAATGGAGAGGGAAATGAGGCTGGAAAGGAAGTGGCTTGGGCCAAAGGGAGTAGGAACACCTGACCAAGTAGGCTGGCTTTCACTCTGCAGTTGGTGATGGTGGGGACAGGAAGAGTGTTTAGGTAGGGGAGTCACACTACTAGGACTGGATTTTTGGGAAAATAGACTGGAAAATGGAGAATGGAAATAGAGTGGGCTAAGACATGTGTCCAGGTAAGAAACTAAAAGGACACAAATTAGGGTCTGGACACAATTCTACCAAGAACCTTTCCCCACATTTTCCTAGCTGCACCAACATCACCCTTTTCTGAACAACTTAATCCCTAATACATGCACTGCTCATCGGACCCTTAACATGCATCTAACTGTGGATTTGCTTCCCTTGTGCTGTGAATGGTTTGAAGGGAGGGTAGGGTCTAAGCTCTGGATCTCTGGGACAAACAGAGTCAGCTCTGTGGGAGAACTTGTCGACCCAGTGCAGGCAGGCAAGGCTAAACAAATCATTGTAAGAACGGAAATGGAATGTATCTGGGCACCCCATCTACCTACTTCAATCCCTGTCCACACCTCCCAATGGTGGCTGGCCAAATGGAATGAAGTTATCTCTTCATTCTCTCATTAATAATACAATATTAGTGACTCCTAAGTGTCATTTGGTTACCACTCACTCACACAGGGAATGTAGAAGCAAATATAATCAGCTTTCTGGGTGACTGATGGGATGTATTCCTGAATTCAGGACACCATAAATGCACCCCACTCCATTTTTCATGTCTTCCTACATAGGCACATCCATCATTTGAGTCAAGACAGATTCCTGAGAGTGAAGATGACTTATGAAAAATGGACCCAAGGGGGTCCTTGAGACCTATGTGCACTCAGTTTAAGGCATAAGATCCTTTCAGTCAAAGTAGCGGAGACCAGGGGCAATTATTGCCCTTTCATGTCTACCATCTCTCTATCTTTATTGGTTCTCATAGCAACACTAAAAAGTAGATCTTATCCTCAGCCCTGGCTGAGGTGGAGAATCACCTGGGGAGCTGGCAACGGATCCCAACAGCCAGGTTCTTGGACAGACTGCTTCAATCAGTTTCTCCGGAGGGGCCCGGGCATCTGTGTCCAGGCTCAGGTGGCTGGTGAGCAGAGAGCCCAGGACTGGAACTCAGCTTTTCCAGTGTCAGCATCCGTCTCAAAGCCCCCGTTGTGGTAAGTAAAGTACTCGAGAACTGTCCCCGGGAGTTTTCAGTCTGGATGTTTCAGAGCTGGGTGGAATGCAGGGGAGGGGACAAGGAAAAAGGCATCTCATCAATTTTTCAGTTTTCTCTACTGCTTGCTTTTGATCTCAAACCAAAGGATTTATTTGTGACTTCAATGGTGTGTGTTAACTATTTAGGTTCCTGCTCAGAACACAGCACATTCTCTTTCCTGCCAAGCAGGGTGTCCTGGCACAGGGGCCTCACTTTTGCCTCCTCTTTGATGGGGGCAGAGCAAAGGGCAGTTTTGGCAGCTTTATGGACTGCTTCTCAGGCTGCTGACACAGCCGCCTGACAAATGGCCTGCCATGCTGAGCTTCTGGGGCCATGTCCCCGACTTCACCAGAGGGGCTCACTCAGGCCATGTGTTTCGGCTCCTTTTTTATGAGAAGAGTTGTGTTAGCCCATGAATCATAGAGTAGCCATGCTGGAAAGAACCTTAAAGATCATCTGGTGCACCACCTCCACTCTCACCACTCCCTAGACACGTCTCTAATGGGTAAATGGACACTGATTTGATAATTAAGTATCGATAATCATCAAATTCAGTGGAGTAAAATATTTCCATACCAAGAAGTTATTATAAACGTGAACATTTATTTTGTATCTATTTTGTGCCCGAGACTTTACATACTTTAGCTTGCTTAATCCCTAAGGACCACCTGCCATGCATGAATCCAGCGGTGCCATTAACCTTAGAGAGAACAAATTACATTGGCCAGGATGGGCTTCCCAGAATAGTTGCTACTCATAATTTAGGTGGCCGTTTCTGGTAGCCTTTTCTAGACAAATGGCAACCTTATAAGGAAGCTGTCAATCCTGTAGTGGCTTAGAATACTGGACACCTGCTTTCTTCTGTTGGGAGTAGGAATGGCTCATTACACAAAGATGAGTCAAGTGGAAAGCAAGCACAACTTTTTTAAAATTTGTGCCCTCCCCATGTGTATCAGGTAGCTTTTATTACTTAATATCACCCCAAAACTTAGGGACTTAAAACAATAGCCATTCACTATCACTCGGAAATCCATAAGTAAGATGGGCATTCTGAAGATCTGGGCAGGGCTCAGCTGATGTTGGTTGAGTATCAACTCATGGGTCAACTTGGGCCTAGCTAGTCTGTAATGGACTTGTCTAAGCTCTCTCCATGTAAACCCCCTTAGCTCATGCTATTCACAGAGGTCACAGAGTTTCAAGAAACAAAGAGGAAGAGGTAAAAATCTCTTGAGGTCCAAGCTCAGGACTCATTCATTCACTTCTCTTCTCTTCTCTGGCCAATACAAATCACAAGACCTCTCCAGATTACAGAGGTAGAGAAGTCAATTCCACCTCTCAATGGGAAAAGGTATACAAATTTGTGGCTGATTTGGTAATCTATTGCACCCTATAACTCCAAATTATATACTGTAGGTTAACTTTTTTGGAGAACACGGCTTTGGTTTCCATCCTCAGGATATATCAGTCTGACTCAGAGCTACTCAGTTGAATACGCTGGAATACGGAACAGAAGATAGGAACTTGGACGGCGACCCCACTCACAAGTAAGGGGTTAGAGCTGGACTTTCACTAGAACCCATCCCATTAAATGCTCCATTTCTCTTAGAAGGAAGACTACAAGGGATTGGAAACAGAGTCTGTAGGTGTTCCTTTCAGAACAGAGAGGGGTAGAATACAAATTCTTTCCTTTATGCATCAAGGTGAAAATAGGGAAGTATAGAGGAGAAAATTTGTCCCTGATCAACAATCCTCAAATCTATACAAGGAAATGTTAAATTCAAAGAGATGAATATACCCTCCTAAGAACGCATAGTTGAAAACATTGGGCATGCTGCCCAGTGGCGATACCCAGGCCAGCTAAGATCAGTCCCATTTGGGTTTCCATCTTTAACAGCCTCCAGCACTTTGCTGAAAGAGCCAAACAAGGCTTTCAAGTGTCCAGGCTATTTTGAGCTAAGCACACTTCCAAGCACCCTTACGAATCAGTGCATAAAATCATTACTCTGAATGACAAGCATTGTTATCATCATAGTTAATGAGGAACACTAAACTCAGAGATGTTAAAAGAAATGTTCAAGATTACACACTGAATGTGCTGACCTGGGCCTAATTTTGAATTCAAGCTCTCCCCAAGTCCAACTGCTCTCTCCCTTAGTGATGATTACCTGCTTTCTTTGTCAACCATTGTATGTGCCAGGCATCTGGGTTATTTTTATCCTCCAAAGATTCTTCTTTATTCTTTGGTTCCTGCCCTCCTTCCACCAAGAATGTATTATGTCCCACTTTTTGGATGATGTTAATGTTCCCCTTCCCAGATCCATCTATTACCCTAGCTCTATCTGGGTAGAGATACTTACCATCCTTAAAGGACCACCTCAATACCACCTCCTCCAAGATCAAAAATCAAGAGATCTTCCTTCATCCCTCCAGTGGGAAGTTCTCTTGCCATACTTCTTCTCTGAGAAGGCTTCTACACTTTCAATTCACATCACTTTTTTCCATACAGTGCTCTGTTTTAGTCAGCTTTTTTGCTGCCATGATCAAAAGACCTGACAAGAGCAATTAGACGATGAAATGTTAATTTGGCACCTCATAATCTTAGAGGGCTCAGTCCATAGATACAGCTGGCTCCATTCTTTGGGATTTGAGGTACATCCTGGTGGAGTGTGGCAGGGGGGACCAGCTCAGGATATCATACCAGGAAGCAGAGGGAGACTAAGCTCACCTCACAAAATGTAGACCACAAAGGCAGGCCCCCCATGACCCACCTCCTCCAACCACAACCTGCTTGTCTGCAGTTACCACCCAGTTAATCCTTATCAGGAGATTAGTGGACTGCTTAAGTTAAGTTCTCTTAACCCAATCATTTCACCTCTAAGCCTTCTTGCATTATCTTATATGCGAGCTTTTGGGAGACACCTAAAATCTAAATCATAATCCTCTCCTCTTTGTTTAATTGTTTATGTCTATGGTGCCTTTAAAGTTGTTTGGGTCATAGGACTCATCATTATAATTCCAATGTCCAGAGCAGAGCCTGATCATCAATGGAGGGGACGAAAGCAACAAAAAGCAAACAGAGCCCCACACTTCCTCTGTTCAGATGGCGATTAGTGAGTAACCTCATCGGCTGCTCACCAACCTGGGAAGGCTGCTTGGAGGAGGGGAGCTATGGTATGAAATGGCAAGAGACATTGGTGTCTACAGGAGCCTCCTCCATGTTCTTAGCTCTTCTCATCTGTCGGCTCTGATGTCTGGAAGGCATTGAAGTTTCTTTGGTAGAAATCAGTAGTTTGTCAAGCTTGGTTACGACTGTTCCTGGAAAAAAAGAAGGGGAAAAAAGTGTGCGCAGAGTGGTGTGGTAATAATTTAAGTTTTATCCAAATAAGATGTTCCATGAAATGTGGAGGACTGCTTGAAGTGACACATTTCTGGCAGCTGATTGTCCCTGGAAAAGATAAAAGGAAGATGAGAAGGGAGTGTTTGTGGGAGCTCTCGCCACTTCGGAACCAAGCCACTTTTGTTTCTAATTCTCAGAGGATAGGGATGGGATCAGTGATCATCTAAAGGTAAGGGGGGGGGGAGATCTTCACTCTGTGTGTGTGTGTGTGTGTGTGTGTGTGAGAGAGAGAGAGAGAGAGAGAGAGAGAGAGAGAGAGAGGTATCCGATCATTTCTCGCATGTGTACATTACAGTCTAGAAAGTGTTTTCCATCTGTTCCCTGTCTTATGAGTCTATGGAGGGTATAAACCCACTGATGATCGAGAAGTGCTTGAAGCTTAAACTCAAGTATAATCTAATTTTTCATTGTCTTTTCAAAAGAGACTTTTAGCGTGACACATGTTTTCTTTTCCATGACCTTTGATTCTTCTTCCAAGACATAAAGACTAACTCTTTGAAGACAACTCACCCCCACCAGGCAATCTAATCCAGAGGAAGTGATCCAAGACACACGAATAAAAGGATCCAGATAAAGGCATTAAGCAAAAGAAACATTTCTGGCCCCAGATTCTAGTCTAGGTTTGGGTTTGCCTGTGACCCACTTCATGGCTTTGAGCAAAATCACTTCAACTGTCATAAGTTTCCCAGCCAAAGAAGTCATCATTTCCTCCCTTCTACACCCAGAATATTTTAAACATCATACTGCAATTTAAATTTTGTAATATGGATATTATTTGTTTCCATGTCACCCCTTGGAGAGACTTTCCTCAACCATCATACATGGAGTGGTTTTCGTCATCTTTATTTTTCTCTGCCCCTTGCTTGCTTCCTTCAGAACACTTACAACAATTCCTCATGATTTTACTTATTTTTCTACTTACTGGCTAGAGTTTCTGTGGATCCCCAAATAAAATACCAGCATTCTGAAAACAGGGGCCAAGTTAGCTTTGTTCACCACCCTGGTGCCTTGGTGAAGCAGGCTTTCAATTTTCTTTTGGTCAAGTCTGGCCTCAAAATTGCTATCTTCCTACCTCAGTTTCCTGAGTAGCTGTGACTACAGTCATATGACACTGCACCCAGCTAAGGTTCTGAAATATTGATGGAATGGATGATGCTCCCCAGGAGACTGAGAACTCTTCTTTTTGTCCTCTGCTAACCCAAGAGCTGACACAGAGTTGGTGCTCAATAAAAAATGATGTCGAGAAGAAACATCTCTGTCATCCCTCACCTCACACTTCAGGCTTGGTCCATGATGGAGGGAATGTCTACAATTATCTTTGTACTCAGTGTCTCTGCCTTTACTGATTTCTCCAGGAAGAAAAAGAATTGTCCATTTGGTTGGATAGACCAGGACAGTCCTGAACCCTGGATTATTAGTAGGCAATGATACTACATGGAAATGTGACCTATCACTGTGAATATATCCTATTCTGCTTCTGAAGCATGAGGAAGAGCACTACTCACCATCCCCCCCACACACACAGACACACACACAGTCTCTCCGTTTCTCTCTGTACTCAAACATGGAGGACTATTACCCACTTCCTGTGTGCCTGCCCATCATTTCCTGTTGCCCACTTCCTGTCTGTCTGCAGTAATCATCTGCTGAGGAAACACCCACAAACTATTTTTCCATATCACTTGTGTGGCATAAAAGGATCAGGCAAACCACCCTCATTCATGTGGTTGAGTAAGTAAACTTGGGGTCTGCTTCACCAACCCAAATATCTCACTTTGCAAACCTGAGGTTGTAGAGTCAAATCTAAATCCAAGAGGTGAGATGAAACATGCTTCAATCTAGGCTACTTTCCCCAATGCAATCTTTACCATGCTTTGCAGAGAGGTTTTCTGTGTTTATTCAGCCATTAAAACAATCGATATTTCATTTTCTATTCTGTTATGGATTTGCATGTGGGATATCCTAGGAGATGGGAGGGATAACTCTGAGGATCCAAGCACCAAACTCTACTCCCATCCCCTAAGAGTGTTTTTGCTTCTCAGTATATGGTGGTTCTAGACAACCTATTTCCTAAAAATGCAAAATTATTCAATGTCAAATAAGAGAACCTAAATGCAAAGATCAACCCCAAATTTGAAAATCATATCCTAGAAATTTGCTGAAGAGATCTGCTGTGAACTTGACAGATGAATCTTATAGATTGAGCCTGCTCTAAGATCATAAGTTTATTACCTCACTCTCAGGAGTCCAATTTGCATGAGGAGGTTGCTAATTGAAAGTGTATGGACCTTGACATTAGACCTATCTGAGTTAGAGTTAACCCTCAGTCATTTCCTAGCTGTGCAACTTTAAGAGTACGGATGCTCTCTGATCATTAATTTTTCAATCTGTAAGACTGGAAGAGTGATACTCAATTTTTCAAGAAATGTGTGAAGGTTCATAATAACTTATGCAATTTTGGATGCACATGCATAGTTAGTAAACATATTAAGAAAGAAAACAAGCAAAACATAAATATCCAACCCTGAGTCTATGGAAGACTGTAATCTTGCATGCAGATTCTGGAGTAAACATGTGCACACACAAGTACACATGGACATGATTGCCCATTAGTCCTGTTGCTGCCAAAAAGAACACAGCCTGCTCTGACCTCTGGACGCAACTGAACCAATCCTGCTCTCTCTAGCTGATCTCCATCACATTCTTATGGCAGCAAGTGTATGTGCCCACAGCCTTGAGGACACCGAGTACACCAACTGCTCTGCAGGGAGATAAAATATTCAAGGCCATAATATTTTGTCTCAGAGCCTTCAGTTCATAGAGATCACGTAAAATTAATTGGAGCTTATTAGCTGGGGAGGGAAAGCATTCTCATAGAAGATTTATCCACAAGCCAAAATCAGAGAATGTCAATGCTAGAAGATATGGAAATGGAGATTTTCTAGTCCAACTCCCTCTTTGTACAGATGGGAAACAGACACAGTTCTAGCCAAGAGTCTGAAACTAGGTAAGACCCAGAGCTCCATCCCAGCTGACCTCAGTCAACCATGATACAGGGCCTGGGCAAAGCCCTGGAACCCATGCAGAGAGTTTCAAAGGTAAGTGGTGTCCCTGGGAGAAGAGGTGGGAGCTTCACAAGCTCTTTCCCCCAGGGACCAGGTCTTAGGAAGCCACAAACCAGGCTCTTGACTTGATGTGGTCCTCACAACCATTGTCCCACCTGGCAGAGGGGGAACAAAGGTGCAAGTGGCTCTAGGGCCACATCTCCAGCTCAAGGCAGCCACTAGCTGGAGGCAGCGCTGGCTGGTTTCTGAGGACCTCTTGTTATTTCACCACCCTCCCTGTTATTCATTCATTCATCAATAAAACCATGTTTATGTGTTTGCTTTGGTTTTTTCAACAGAACATATGTTTCCTGGGGGCAGGAAGATCTTTTCTGTCTCATTCCTTGGTATTTCTCTAGGGCTTGGGCAGTGTCCAATGTTTATGTAGATACTCAGGTTGGAAGAGAGAGAGAGAGGAAGCAGAAGGAGGAAGAATTTCTGCTTTGGCTCCCTGCACCTTTATTTTCTGCTTCACAATTAGCTCACCTTGTGACCAATCCTTCTAATGTTCATAGACTAGGCCTTTTAGTAGGTGCCTTTGCACTCTTTGAACATCCTCAATAGCCCTGTAAAGTAGAAAGAGATGGGATCTTTAAAGATGCATTCATAAGCAGATCATCTCCTGGGAAGCACCAAGTTCTAACAACTGGGATAGTTACAGGGTGTCATGGCCACAACCTGCTCTTCAGAGGTCTATATTCACCTGTCTCCCCAGGTAGAGCATTGCAGGCAGTGGGAGGGCTATAGGGGTCTGTGTGCAAAAGGAAAGGATCTGCTCTGAGAGACTTCTGGAGCTCTTCCTTCCAAGCAGGGTCAAGCCTTGACAGGAGTTTTCAAAGAGCATATGCAGCAGACACAGCGTGCACAGTTGTGCATGTTGGGGAAGGCAGGCAGGCTCCGGGTGGTAATGTGTCTGGAACCTCTGCTGCCTGCAGAGGAGCAGAGGTGCCCACACTGGCCCTCTGAATAGAGAGACTTTGGATCTCCATCTATCTAGGCTCTTGGTAGCCATGTGGCACCTCCCAAGCCATAGCAAGCAAGTGGACAGGTCAAGTCCCTGGGCTGACTCCCTACCCCACGGAATTTCCACGACCTTTCAGTGCCCTAGGCAATGAGCACTTCCACTAAGTCCCATTGAACCAAAATGTTGTTCAAGGACCAGGAGGAGGTCAACCCACTAAGGATCTAATGGGTCCCAGGAGAGGCCAGCGCAGCTCTGGGTGCCCAAGCCCTTGCACACCAGCAGCACTCTGACACAGATGGTGTTTATCCTATCCTCATTCTTCAGTGATGTGCTCCTTGATGAGCTGTGGAGCATATCCAGAGTGTTTTTAGAGCTGTTAGCTATTATGTCCCCCAAAATAATAAATTGCACACTGTGGCTCTGCTTCTTTCTTTCAAAGCAACTAGAGAGCTAAAAATACCACGCTTCTTCTAGGACCCACATCGCGTCAGAGTCACCAGCAACAGGAGGGTCCCTCTGGCCCCGGAGACCTTGTTTTCTTTGAACAGCTCACTGAGCACCAGCTGAGGTTCTCCTGGCCTTGATGCTTCCCTGACACCCTCCCGGGCTCCTTGGTGCTGACACCAACAGCAGGCTGCCCGCTGTTGGCATGTCATGGAGCCCGTGGCCAGCCCACTCCTCCTCCGGCCACCGGGTCTGCATTTATTATTCCAGATGATAAAGCATACTGTCCCGAGGAGTTCAAAGCCACAGAGAACCAGCTGCCTCATGGACAGAAAAGTTGCTATTGTTTATTTCCTAGAGCAGTGGAATAGCCTCGTCCTCTCCCTCCCCTTCCCCTCCCCTCTATTCTCTCTTCTTTCTTATCCTCTCCTCTCTCTTTTCCTCCCTGGCCTCCTCCTCCTCCTCCTCCTCCTCCTCCTCCTCCTCCTCCTCCTCCTCCTCCTCCTCCTCCACTCTTTCTCTCTCTCTCTCCTCTCCTTGTCTCTTCTTTTCTTCTCAAGTCCTATTCCCTATCTTCTTTCCTCCCCAGAGTCCTCTTAGGCACTAGTGCTTTATAAGAGTCAGTCTTGTCTTTTCCATTTCATCTTACAGCATGTATTTTGAGTGGGGTTTTAAAATTCACAATAACTGGTAAATACCCAGCTGTTGGACCAGGGTACAGGAATCCTGGCCCCAGGTTGCCTGGGATATGAGTGTATTAAGTAGCATGAGAAGAGATGAGAATTCTTTAGATAGTGGAATTGGCCAGAAAGTTAGACAATTCTGCAACATTACAGGATTTATGGTCTTGGGGAAATATTTCTTTGTGGGCCTCAGTTTCTGATATGTGTAAAGGAGTTAGGATCCCTGCCCTGCACTTCCAGGAAGAATTTAAGGTCACCTAAAATAGTAGGTAAGAAGATTCTGCAATGCCCATGCAACAGGATGGTGACACTATAACAGGTTACTTGGCTATAGTACTGGGTCATGTGAGCGGGGGAATGAGACCACATGTGCACACCCCCTCACAGGCTGCCAGGCATGAATGTTATCTGCAACCATCATTTTCGGTAGGATAGGTCCCCTAAAAACAAGCTGAGCTAGAAATGAGCACGTAGTGCTTAGTGAGTACTCTCAGAACCCCACAATGGAAAGGGAAGTACGGGAAGTAGAGTCAGGTAGACAAAGGAGCAGGTTGCAGTGCAGCCGTACCAGAGGCCTCATTCAATAACAAAGGAGCCTAGAAGCAGAAGGACCTTTAACACTTGTCCCAAATTGGAACAAGGGAGCCAGGCATTTATAACTCCATGAACTTCTATTACTGAATTGGGTTGCCTTAGAAAGGAATTTTGGTCTTAGGAGATGCCGCTCTCTTCAAATGATATAATCCTAAAAGGGGATTAGGAGTTGAGGGCTATCTGCTGGCAGCCCTCCCAGCAGCTGGAAGAATAATTCCTCTAGTACAGAAAGGAAGTCTTGACTATGAATCCAGTGAACCCTACAGCATCATCATTATTATAATATAAATATAGTGACTTGTTATATTTCCTCATACATCAGGAGAAAAAAAAAATCTGATGTTGCCCTAAGAGATTGTAATTATAAGACAAACATGAGAAAAAAAAATTTACCTAAAAACTTTTAAGTAACTCTTGATCAGCTGCTTCCCAATGGAAACATGTCAGAGTCACTGATACAATGTGTCCACAACACAGAATCCTAATTTACAAGACCAATAACAATGGTGTCCTAATGATCTCCTAGCTTTTCACTCTCTGTTGTCCCCTACTGGTCAATCCTCTGTACTGCCTCCAGGGTTGGTTTTTTAACTCTGGTTATATTGACATATTGCTTAAACATAACTAATGGTTTCTATTTCCGAAGAAACAACACAACTCCTCTCCACAGTGTGTTTCCTGGCCATCCCTTGGTAGCCTCTTTTCCCACTTCTCCCTCCACCTCCTGACCCCAGCGCTCTTACATTCCAGCACAGCACTATGAGCATGTCTGGAATACCCTCCCCAATCTTCCACTGGTGGATTCCTTTGTATGCCTTGAAGCCCAGCCCAGTGTCCCCCTCCTCTGTGTCTTATATGCACTGCCAATATAACCCTTAGATAAATGAACAGGCAATCAGACTCATCATGAAGCTGCTGATCCTAGAGAGAAGCTGGGTAGAACAATGAGGAATTGGTTTAGAGCCTGTTGGCTTTGGTTTAAATCTATTCTGTGTCCTTGATTTTAAGCTGTAAAGCAAAGCTCATTAAGAATTTGGAGGTTATTTCCTTACCCACGTAGTCGTAATAATACCTACTTCTAGAAGATGGCTGTGAAGATGAAGTAAGGTGGTAAATATGAACGACCTGATCTCACACCAGGCACTGCCTGGCACTCTGTGCTTAGGGGTGGGGGCGGGGTGCCTTCCATTTCTATGTTCCCTTCTCCAAGCATCTCCCCCACTAGATTGTAAGTTCCTTGAAGGCAGGGCTATAGCTCCCTGCTCATGGTTGCATTTCTGATGCAGAAAGTTCAGTACCTCGATCCATATTTTTAAATAACTAAAAATAACTACTCTGGAAATGTTGAACTCAATAGACGTGTTTATAGAGAAGAGCAAAATAGAAATCTCATCACAGGACAACCAGAGCTGCCGCCCTGACTGAGGAAGGAAGAGCTGGCCTGCCACACGGTCTGCGCCCCCATCTTTCTTCTCTTTTCGAGGTGGCTGCACTCCACAGTGACGCAGCCCTGCTAGACCTGCTCAGACTAAACACATATACATCAATGTCTCCGTGCTCACGGCTAATGTGTCCGCGTCAACTCCAGGGCAGGCTCCTGGGGATAGTAAATGGGACTGAGACCACCTTGAAGTAATTTTGAATGTATGTACCTGTCATCTTCATGTCGCTCTTCCTGGAGCAGCCTGAGGGCGAGTCCATGGGGCAATGATTCCACATTAAACTCATCCTTCATGACCTGGGCCCAGGCCAGCTCACTACATCCTGCTCCTAAGGAGAGAACACATTGTGTGCTTGACATGAATTCCACTGAGAAGAGAGTCACCTCTTGACTCTTTTCATTGTTCCTCAGAAAGAACATTTATGATATAATGACGGGTGTTTGGAGGAACTCATGTTCAAATAGTAATTTACTTGGAAGGAAAAAAAAAAACCCTCATATGCACTAGAAGGATGACAAAGATATCAAAGGTTGCATTCTCATCTGCACTTGATATTGAACAAGTATTTATTCAATGTTCACCATGTACCATCTATTGCCCTGGGTACTGGAGGCCTAAGGAAATGAGACATCAACTCTGCCCACTTGAAACTCACAGGTGAAGAGGCGAGCAGTGCTGTGGGCCCTGTGGTCAACACAGGCATGTCAGACTTGGGACGGTTCCAGAGAAAATGGATACAGAGCTGAGACCTAAGGAATCATCTCAAATTTACTCACATGAGAACAGTAGTAGCAGAGGAGGGAAGAGAGTGTTCCCATCAGAAGAAACAAAGAATGAGAGGCACCAAACAGCATTGGCCATTGAACCTGGCACTGAGTGTGCAGAGAAGGAATCCCTGGCAGGGGACTCTATGCATGGGATGCTCAGACCTTCTCCTAAGAGCATTAGGGATTCAATAAAGTCCTTTAAGAAAGATGCTAAACACAAATCCTAACCAATCATCCTCTGAGGAAGGATGGTGTCGGCCATATGGGATCTCCCAAGTCCCAGAAACTATGCTAGCTTTCATGTGAATTCCAAATCAACTCATTCTAAGAAAACTTAAGAAAGTCATCTTTTAGAGCTTGATGTAGTCCAGGGAACTACAAGAAATAGAAAATAAAGGGTTTTATGATGGTTAATTTTATATGCCAATGTGGTGAGATTGTGGTGCCCAGTTGTTTGGTCAAACACTAGTCTGGATGTTACTGTAAAGTATTTTTGTAATGCAATTAGCATTTTTAAAATGTCTTATCAGTTGACTTTAAGTAAAGCAGATTGCCTTCCAGAATGTGAATGGACTTTGTCTACTTGATTAAAGACCTAAAGTGCAAAACTTGATGTTTTCCAGAAAAGGACTTCCGTCTTGATACTTTGACATGGAAAGTCTGCCTGAGTTTCTACCTTGTTGACTTGCCCTACAAATTTGAACCTGCATTTAACATATAATTCTTACCTGAATTTCCAGCCTTCCAGCCTGTCTACAGATTTGGACTTGCCAGCCCCCATGATATCAAGAGCCAATTCCTTTAAATAAGCCTCTCGATAGACAGATAGATTTTATATATAACATATATATATGATAGATAAGAAAATTTATGTGCATGCACAGATACACACATATATACTATTGGTTCAGTGTCTCTGCAGAGCCGTGACTGAAACAACCAGGACCCAGAAAAACCATTCCAACCTTTCGTCTCCTATCATTTAATCACTTTTCCATCAGCACAATGGGGACTAATTAGCCCCCCTCCCAGGACTGCTTTGAAGACAGTGTGAGCAAAAACACTAGCATCATGGCTGGCACACAGTAGGTTCTTCGCTGCTGTTTCTTTTTCTTCTTCCTTGATTGACTGATAGGATAGACACATTCCCAATGAAGGGGTATGGTTTTCTGCTGACACAGGCTGCCCTCGATGAAATCTGATCTAGAATGGGAAGTGCTAAACAAATAAAAAGGAATTCAGTCTTGGAGTATTATTGCCACCGTGATGGAGAGTGGCTCCAAAGGCAATTCCTCAAGAGTTCACAGGAGAGAAAAATGTCCAGTCTTGATTTTATGTGTGTGTAGAAAATAAATTGAATGCCAAGGGTGGCGACATGTGGACGACGGGGAGAGGGCTTAGCCGAGGAATTAAACATGTCAGGAGTCTCAAAAGGAAAATAGCAGTGACATGGAAGGTGAAAGGGGTATATTTGGAAAGCTTGGCGAGTGGCACGAGGGGAGGAAAAGGGGGCTGAAGCCAGGATCTACTCTCAATAACTCAGCAAGGTGGAAAGGAAAAAATATGAGCCCAGGTTCAAACTCTATTATCACAACTGGCTTAAATTATTATTCCTTGCTTAATTGACCACATAGAAAACACAAGGAGGGTAAAACCAGGCGAGCCATTAATGGATCTTTACCTAGGTAATCTTTCACATCTCTGACAGCAAAATTCCCATATTAGAGCTATCCGAAACACAGAGAAAGTGCCAAGATAATGCCACCCAGTGCACAAGTGGGAAACTAAATTCTAAAACCCAGGTCTTGGATTCCCAGTTATGGCTTTTGTAAGAAACTAAGAGTGTGATCTAGGCAGGGATGGCAAAGAGGTTGCCTTCCGCATGCCAACTCTGATTCATTGATGGATTGGTTGATTGTGCTAGGTTGAGGAGTAGGGGATTAAATGCTGCTCAGCATGTAAGGGACTATGACTGATAGGTGACATCTGTCATGAAAGCCGGAGAGTCTTCAGGCAGGCCAAAAGGATTGTCATTTCTAATCTTGTCCAATCTCTTTTTCTCTCTTATGCCAAACATCAGCAAAATATAGGCCAGAGGCCAAACCAGGCCCACTGCTTATTTTTGTAAATAAAGTTTTATTAGAACACAACCCTTCTGATTGATTTGCCCCTTCTCTGTGGCTACTTCTGTTCTACAATCGCAGAGCTGAGTGAGTAGTTGCAGCAACCCTAAACAAAGCCTAAAACATATACAAATGGTTCCCTTGCAGGAAAAGCTGGCCAACCCCTGTTCTAGAGTACACTGAGAGCCAGATTGATTTGATACCAATGGTATCCCTTCCTTTCTCTCATCACACTCTGCATGCCTAATGTGTGCCAGACTCTATACTACGTGCAGTTGACCTCAGTCCATATCATCCTAAGGCCATTTCTCTTCAGAGTCTCACAAGGGCCAACAGAGTCAATCAGGGGCTGTGTCCTTCTTACTTACCTCCAGCAGGAAAGAAGGAGACTGTTCCTCCCTTCAATATCATTAAGCCACTTAGGCCACAGGCCTAATCCCAGGGGTATACCAGGCCAGACTTCCTCTATTAGGCCACCCCTACACCAGAGGTGATAGTAGCTTCCTCTGAGTCATAAAGGACAGAGCTGAATGCTTTCAAAGTCAATTTCGAGTTAGGAACAAGGAGCAGGACATGGATAGTCAAGGGGCCACCTCCAGTGCCCACCACAGTGGTTACTGCAGTTCTGCAGGAGAAAGATGGTGGTCTTGGGCTGGAGAGAACAGGAGAGAGAGAAAGAACAAGGCAGAATGCAGCAAATATTGGAGTTAGAAATACTTGTTAGGTAGATATGACAGTGGTAATGTTAAGAGAACAAAGCTGACCTTAAATTTCTGGCTGATGCAAAACATCAATGATTTTACCAACAAAATACATGAACAGATACTGGGGAACTCTAAACCAGTGCTTCTCAGTCTGCCCATTACACACATTGCTAAGCTTTTTAAGGCATTGTCTGGGCCCTTCTGCAGACCAGTTAGACCAATATTGGAAAGATGCCTGGGCATCAGCATTTTTGAAAATCTCCCTCAGGGGATTTGAATATGTAGCCTGGACTGGGAACTATCGCTCTACTAGATGTCATCTAATGCATTCAAGTCCGAATCAAAGCAAGAGACTATCTGGCCAACCTCCTCATTTTATGAATGAACAGCCTGACTCCTTCCCAGGGTCACATCCAGCACCACACTTTCATTTCAAAGTTTTGTGTGGGCTGTGTTACTGGAATTCAAAGTTAGTGGAGAGCCTGTCCACATCTGGCACTTAGGAGTACAGCAAGCAGGCAGAGAAAGGACTGGGACTTGTCCCCTGTGGTGTAGTGAAAAGAGCAGAGGCTCTAGAATCAGACCAAGGTGGTTCAGTTCCTGGCTCTGGCACTATGAGATCTTGAGAGCCTTTTTTTTGTTTGTTTAACTCACTGAGATATGGGAACAAGAATGTCTCCTTTGCTAAGGTGTAGATGTGGTTTAGCTGAGAGAAAGGGAAAGACTGTGGAGGACACATGAAGTGCTAGAAAATGATCAGCACCTTTTCAGTCACTGGGGCAGAGTGGGATTGAGCCCTCAGAGCCTCGGCTGAGAAATGGCTGCAACAGAATCTGAGGCCTTTGGTTCTCTGTGTAGCAGGGGCCTGTGAATTCACAGCGTGATGATCTGTTCACTTCAATTCAGATTTTTATAATGAAATAACATCTCTCCAAGATGACTGATCCCAGAAGAAAGTGAAATCTAAATATAGAGTGTTTCCTAGTCCTTTTAGAAGCTCAGAAGTGTGACTTGTCTTCAGGCTCTGTAATTTCCAAGAGCATGCATGGTAGCCAAACTGACCGTGGCCTTCTCTCTCACTGTTTGGAGCAGTGAGTCACCGCATCCTGACAGTCGGTTTGGGAGCAGAGATATGCACTCAACTGGAGTCCCCCTCTTCCTGAAGCCCTCCAGGTGTCCAGAGTAAGAGAGGATGTGTGTCATGAGGACTTTTCACATGTGTGTGTGTCAGCACAAGGGACTCACTCATTCCCTTCAACACAAATCACCAAAAGCGACCACAAAGCCACAAGTGGTCTGGTGTGATGACACCAAGTGGACCCGTGGGATCCCCAGACCTGACTCAAGAGCCTCAAGACACAAGCTCACATCTCACTTACTGTACCATTTTGCCTGGTGGACATCCGGCCTGAAGTTTCCCAGTTGGAAGAAAAAAAAAAATTCACCCCCAGGGAGAGGATTCAAGCTCCTGAGAAAAGGAAAAAAAAAAAAGACAGAATAAAACTGTGAGAAAATAAATTGTCCTTCGATCATGTTATATGGGCTATAAGTCCCATTTGTTGGGATCCAGGTAGGACAAACACAAGCCCCAGGTCCTATGTGTCAGGCACTGAGATCACATACATAAAGCATCACAATAAACTGGTTAACTCTCTGAGCCCTAATTTCTTCATTTGATAGCTCTATTTTTATTATGTACCTCATACATTTATTTTGAATTATAAATCATTCACTAATAATGAGGACTATCTCTCCATTATTCACTTACTCTGCGCCGTGCACTGTATTAAATACTTTATAAACACTATCTCACCGAATGCCATAGTGCTCCTGCGAAGGAAGTAGAATAACCAGGATCACTGCCCAAATAAGGACACCGAGGCCTCAAAGTGAGGTTCATCCATCAGATTTCACATAGTAGAAGAGCCAGGACTATAAACTACTCAGATCCAAATCTCCTTCCTTGTTCCCACAGTGAATAAATCAGGAAACTAAAGTTGCCTGGCACTTTAATTTCTCTGAGCCTCAAAGCAGGAAACCAAGGCCTTGAACCTGGGGTTTCCTTGTTTCCAACCCACCATAATTTCATACTTCTGCGTTAACATGTCCCACAAAGTAAGAAAGAAGCACGGTCAAATGGCCAAGGGAGCAGGGCAAAGTTCCCTGAGGTTTCAGGGTGTCATGGAGTCCCCTCTGCTGAGCAGACCATGGAAACTGCTGGCAAATGCAGAACATCTGCCCTCGTGGGACAGTGAGAGATGCTCAGTGAGCCTCAGCCAGGCATCTGGTCACATGTCGTCCATTTAGTCACCACCACAACACTAGGAGAGAGGTATATGATGCTTGGGCAAGGGATGGCTTGCCAAAGTCACTGAGATGTGACAGAGTTTGAATTACAGCAATAATTTGTCTTTCCTACTAGATTGAAATCCCTTGAGGTTAAAGATATTTTGGTATTTGTTTCCCTAGCCCTTGTCACATGTTTGAAACGGGGCAGGGCCTTAATAATTGGAAGGTTATATTCCTTTTTGACACTAAATTACACTTGTTTGAGAATGTGGTTGGCGCTCTGCTGGATGACATCTAATGCATTACTTTTTGACTGTTCAAAATAGACCTGAGGTAAGTTTGAGATGCACTTTGAACATGGGGAAGCATACTAGAGAGACTGGGGTTAGATTATTACCATAAAACCTGGGCAAACCGATTTGTGCAGTCCTAATACTGGGTGATGCCCAGGAGTCTGCTTACTAGAATTGCCTCATCCTCACATCCTAGGTCTCTGCAGCAATCTGCTTCCTTTAGCACTGCTCTGCCTTGCAAAGAAGTGAGAAATGGGAAGCGCTGAGGGAGGAACTGCATTTCCCAACAGTTTTCAGGCAGTCTTGGGGTTCCTAGAGTCTGCAGTAAGAATTATTGGAGCTCAGTGCTCCTCGTAAACTATTTTTGTACCTGGAATGTGTTTGGAGGCAGCTGGCTGCTGCCACAGCTCAGATATCACCTGGCACTTTCTTCTGGACAGGGTGAATAATCATCACGTGAGCAGTTAGGCCAGACGGTGTCTGTCTGGGTCTGTATCTGATAAGAAGCTCGCAGCAACAAGTGAGCCGTGCTCCGCTTTCCGCAGAGTGGGCTCTGTAAAAGACGATAAGAATCGCCAGATTTCAAAGCAGGAAAGCACATCCAACCCCCTTGCTTTACAGGTAGAGAAACAGAGATCCAGAGCCCTGGGCTGGCATATTGGGTTACTAGACATGGAAATCCATTCACCTTAATGGAGGGTGGCGCACGTCACCACGGAAGGGCATTTCATGGAACTCACTTGCAGGACCCATAGCAACAGGAAAGTCTTCCCCCTCGTGGTGGACACAGAGAGGCACCACACAGAGCCCCATTCCCCCCCCCAAAAAAAAAGTGCTTTCCCAGCTGAGAGGACTAACATCCAGCTGTCAGCTACTTCTGAGCCCCAGCTCACTGACGGTGGTGCCCTGCTGGGTAGCTCACAGTCTGTGATTTAGCAAGGTAAGGTATAAAGGCCCAGTCATTTCAACCTGACAAAGAACAACTCTGATGGGCAAAAATTCACTCCAGATCACCCACTGGGTTGGCGGAGGCTATGTCAGATCTCACCCCCTGTTCAGCTTCTCCAGCTGCCCAGGATTGGTTTCACTCACTTCCCTTCCCAAGTGTTGATCCCTAATAAACATCTTATGCCCCAAACTCTGGAGTATCTCCTTTGGAAAACCCAACTGTAAAATTCCCACTCTCTGACAAATGGCATTTTCTTTCACATTTCTTACTTAGTCCATCTGCTCCATTCAACAGTCCTTTTCCCTGTAAAACATCTTTGGATTTTCTTCTTGTATATAATCCACTGTAGAAGCCCCCACATGTCAGCCCGTGGCACCTGTGGCACCGTACTTTCCAAATTGGCTATATTTTTAATTCTTCAACTTCTTCCAAACACTGGCCATTCTTTATCAAGAGACAGAATGTGTATCTTCTCCTAGTGAAGCTGATATTATGACTTCCTTGAGGAACAGAACATGGTGGAAGTGACATCAGAGATCAAAGTGATAAAAGACTATATGGCTTCCACCTGATTTCTTTCTGGAACATTCATTTTTGAAACTCAACCATCATCCCATACGGGAGCCCTAACTAGCCTGTGGTGAGACAATGTGGGAAAGAACTGAGTCCTCCAGTAGACAGCCAGCGTCCACCGCCAGGCCTGTGAGTGAATGAGGCTTCAAATTATTCCCACGTTTGAATCTTTAAACTAGGACCCCAGTAGAGTGGAACAGAAACAAGTTATCCCTACTATGCCCTTTCTGAATTCTAGATTCTCACAATTCATGATCATAATAAATGGTTGATTTATACCACTAAAAGTCAACTTTTAAGGTCACTTTTTCTTAGCTATCGTTAACTGGAACAGCCCTGAAGTTCATAGGATCCTTTGACTTGTCTCCCACCACCAGCTGATTCCATCTGCAAGTCCCAATTACAAATTCCTTAGAGAGAGAAACTGATAGGCCCCAGGGATGGATACCTGGTTCAGATTGAACCAATCATCTTTGGCCTTGTGGCCAGAAGGGCAGAGGCTCAAGTGTACAGGGCTTTTTCATTTTAAATCGGCTCAGTCATTAAGTAATTATCACACGCATTGTGTGAGTTATATGCAAGGCTGCTACTGTGCTTACAGAAGCAAATGAAACACAGCCCAGTCAATGTGAAGTTTATATGTAGAGGAATCAGATGGCGATCAAGAGAGAGTCACACAGTATTTTGCTAAGGCAGCACATTGCAACAGAGCCTAACTGGAAAGTCACAATGTGGCCAGGGAGGGAAGAACCAACATATTTAACTATTTGCTCCACCCAGATTCAGATCAGCAAACACTGACTGTATATCTACTATGAATCTCGGGGACTGTGCCCGAGGGTGCTTCTAGAACAGATGATTCTATAGGATGAATATTTGAACCTGCAAAATGTTAAGCTTGTAAATCGAGAGAGATGACATGATTGCCTGCACTTGAGCTTGGTCTGGGCCTGCTCTCCAGCACTTTTGTGATCTCTCCTCTTACAACACTGCTTCAGATAGCATGGCTCACCATGACGGGAGGTGGAAAGAGTTCTGTCTGGACTGCGGGTAGAGTAAAACTTAAGCACATGCTTTCTGGAGACAGCTTGCCCATACTCTACCACTTATTAGACACAGCAGATGAAGTGCCAATAAAGGACAAGTTTGACCTCTCTGAGCCTCGGCCTCTTTATCTATAAAGTTGAATGATAGTATTGACCCCAGTGGGCTCTTGTGAGGACAAGAAGAGATCAGGCGTGTAGCCAGCCTAGAACACCAACATACAATAAATGCTCAATGTGAGTTTGTTCTCAGGCTGTAGTTGGAGGAGCCAGAGGACCCTTCCTGGTGGAAATAGACCCTAAGAATGTGCGAACCAAAGGTTGACTTCCTGATGGGGGGAAGAAAGGACAGCAAAACTAGGAAGATTGTGGGATGTTTTCAGGAAAAATCACAATCCCATTTGGCTGGAGGTCTAAGGAAATTTTTCTATTTGTTGTCTTCTGTGTCTCCCACCAGAACATAAATCCTGTGAGATAAAGGACTTCAATCCACCGAGAGCACTACCTCATACAGAGCAGGTGTGCCATAAAGTTTTACTGACTAAATTAATAAGACAGCTGTGTGGTCCAGGGCAAGCTACTGCTCCTCTCTGAGACTTAGCACCCTGCCTTCCAAAAAAGGGATAATGACATCCTCTTCCTGGGTTGCTGAGAGGCTTAATGAGATAATCATGCAAATCCTGGCCCAGAGCAGATGTTAAATACCTGCTAATTCCCTTTCCTTGGAGTTGTGTATCCACTAGAAGGTCAAAGTGTGTGGAAGAGATAATAAAAATGTTAAGAGGGGGATGGATAATAAAAATGTAAAGAGGAATGAATAGAGAAATTGGTGTGTGCTAGAAAAATTAAGGCATCTTTCTGGAGGAAGCAGAACTGAAAACTGTTCTTGAAGGGTGATGCAGCCACTTTGTTATGTGACCTGAGCAAATCGTTCAACTAGTTGTGCTTTAGTCTCCACGTCTATAAGGTAGAGGGCTCGATGGACGAGCCCCAAGGTTCCTCCTGGCTCTGATGCACCTGTGTCCACGGACAAACATCAACCAATCATCTCCTGAAGACATTAACAAGAGCAGTTACACAATCTCTTGTACGTGTTGTTCTGTATCCAGTTTTCAAAGAAAACCCTGAAAGAAAGTCCTAAATTGGTTTAGCTAGAGACGTGGTTCGGTATGAGAATCAAGGAATATAGATTTAATAGAACAGAAGCAAGAGTTGGCTAGCTCTTGGCTTTTCTGGGTCATGATCTTATCTACATTAAGAGGGATCTGGGTGGAAGAATGGAAGGCACTTGTGAACCTTTCAGACCACCAGCTTTTAATCATTCTCCTAGGCTGAGATCCTTCAGTAGTGAATGCCAGGAGAGTTAAACCCCTTGGGAACCTGCCTATTTGGACAACCTGCAAAACTATGGAATCTGGGTCCACCTCTGGCCACACCAGATTGGCCTCACCACTGACCTCATCCTCTGGCACATCGCCTGTTATGACAAAGGCCTGGATGTGCCCAAAAGACCTGCCCTGGGTCAGGGGCGTGGCTGTAGCACATCCCAGCTAGCTTCAGAATTGCCTAAACCTTAGGTTATTTCCCTCTGAGCCCCGCCAATGCCAGTAATAAGGGCGGATGGATAATAATGACTCACAAAACCTGCTGAGGGCAGCGAGGGCAGTGCAAAGATCCCCGATCCTGGAGTCTGGAGACCAGGCTCTGTCCCAACCAGCTGTGTGTCCTTAGACAGGTGCCTGCCCTTTCTGCCCTGTCTGCCTCTCTGAAAGCAAAGCACATGGGCTCCTACACCCCTCAGTGTGGACTTGTGAATATTGAATGAGACCAGAGATGCCAGCCCTTGCAATACTGTTAGGTCACATGGTTAAGACCGTGTTGTCTCGGATGGCTGGTGTCTGCAGAGTGCCTGACGATTTACAAAGCACGCCACTGTTAACTACACATTCTCATCAGTTATCTCAGGCTCCCCCAGCAGCCCTATAAGGACACAGGGTGAGCCCTCTTATCCACTGGCCCCTTATCTGCTCCTCTCTTAGAACACTTAGAACATTAAACCTTCAACTTTGTATCTTAGTTATTTACGCACATGTCTAATCTCCCTACCTTGAACAGAAGCCAGAGCAGACACTGGGTCTGATCATCCGGGCCCAGCCCACCCCTCACCCATTCACTGCTTTGGACATGGTTGGATCTCAGTAAGTAGTGACAGTAAGAAAAAGCTGAGGGCTGGGAGGAGAGGGGAGATGGGGGAGCATATAACTGAGCTTGTTCCTAGTTAATTTCCATGACGTAAGTTAAGCATCCACTCTTGTAGCCACTGGCTACCAAGGATTGTTTGAGTTTAAATTAATTAAAAATTTTAAAAAATTAAAAACTCCATTTGTCCATTACCTTTCAAGTGCTCAATAGCCATGGATAGCTGGTGCCCACTGCATCGTGGGAAGTAGATAACAGCACGTTTCTGTCGCGGCAGAACCCTCTATTGAATGTGCTCGTGTGCGGGGGGCAGGGATTGGAGGAGTGTGAGACTCTGGAGTCAGACAGAAATGAGTTTCAACCTCTGGAACCCAGGAAAGTCATTTTTCCCCTTTAAGCAGCAGTATCATATTTGTAATATTAGTGTGCTCACAGAGATAACTATCTCCATATCTCTTTTGCAGGATTGTTGAGAGGATAAAAAAATAAATTGTTTTTTACATGGCTGTTGGCAGGTTCCCTGCACTGATGCCCCCAAGTGATGCCATGGGTTACAGTGTACCAGGGGCTGGTGTTTACTCCATGGCAAGTGGTGGGCAGAGTGGAAAGAACCCAGGCTGAAGGGGCAGACAGGCTGAAACCTTCCAGCTATGTTATAGGAAGGTCATTCAATCTTTTCAGGTCTCATTATCTCCCTTTCCCAGATGGGGGGGGGGAATCATTATACTATTTAATTCTCATCAAATCTTTATAAGTTAAATATATGAAGAACCTTTCTCAATGCCTGGCATACAGAGCACATTTTGATAACTGGAAAATTACTACATTATGTTAATATAAAAAGACACATAGATGCAATTATCATCTAATGTTTCTAATCATT